GCCTCCCCCCCCTTCCGGCCCCCCCACCCGGCCCCCCACCCCCCACCCCCCACTCTTCCGCCCCCATTCCCCCAAGGCGCCCGTTCCCCATGTCGGGCTGGCCATGGTGCTTACAAGAGGGCAGATCTCCACCTTCCCACCTACTCTCCCTTCCCTTGCCACCCCGTTCCTGCGCTCAGCCCGTACCTTCCACGTGCTATGCCAAACATTGGGTGGGTCTTCTAACAATACATTCACGTTTCAACCTCCCCCCCCTTCCGGCCCCCCCACCCGGCCCCCCCACCCCCCACCCCCCACTCTTCCGCCCCCATTCCCCCAAGGCGCCCGTTCCCCATGTCGGGCCGGCCATGGTGCTTACAAGAGGGCAGATCTCCACCTTCCCACCTACTCTCCCTTCCCTTGCCACCCCGTTCCTGCGCTCAGCCCGTACCTTCCACGTGCCATGCCAAACATTGGGTGGGTCTTCTAACAATACATTCACGTTTCAACCTCCCCCCCCCCCCCCCCCGCCCCCCGCCCCCCCCACCCCCCACTCTTCCGCCCCCATTCCCCCAAGGCGCCCGTTCCCCACGTCGGGCCGGCCATGGTGCTTACAAGAGGGCAGATCTCCACCTTCCTACCTACTCTCCCTTCCCTTGCCACCCGGTTCCTGTGCTCAGCCCATACTTTCCACGTGCTATGCCAAACATTGGGTGGGTCTTCTAACAATAGATTCACGTTTCAGCCTCCCCCTCCTTCCGGCCCCCCCACCCGCCCCCCCCACCCCCCACCCCCCACTCTTCCGCCCCTATTCCCCCAAGGCGCCCGTTCCCCATGTCGGGCCGGCCATGGTGCTTACAAGAGGGCAGATCTCCACCTTCCCACCTACTCTCCCTTCCCTTGCCACCCCATTCCTGCGCTCAGCCCGTACCTTCCACGTGCTATGCCAAACATTGGGTGGGTCTTCTAACAATAGATTCACGTTTCAGCCTCCCCCCCCTTCCGGCCCCCCACCCGGCCCCCCCACCCCCCACCCCCCACTCTTCCGCCCCCATTCCCCCAAGGCGCCCGTTCCCCATGTCGGGCCGGCCATGGTGCTTACAAGAGGGCAGATCTCCACCTTCCCACCTACTCTCCCTTCCCTTGCCACACCGTTCCTGCGCTCAGCCCGTACCTTCCACGTGCTATGCCAAACATTGGGTGGGTCTTCTAACAATACATTCACGTTTCAACCTCCCCCCCCCCCCCCCCCCCACCCCCCCCACCCCCCACTCTTCCGCCCCCATTCCCCCAAGGTGTATTTAGGTTGGTCCTCCTAAACCCAGCAGCACCATCCCACTTCTGGTGTTTGGTGGATTACCCACCGTGGGTGTCCCATCCCACTACTGTTCTTTAACGTACCCACCCTGTTTTTCCCGTACGAATAGTCTTGTAACCTAACTCCCCACCCTATATTTCGACTGACTACTGTTTTAGCTTCCCCCCCCCCTTTTCTTTTCCCGTCTCACTACTGTTTAGGCCTCCCTGGCCACTCTAAAACATTCTGATCCCATTACTGCTTTTATATACCCATCCCTCCGTTCTTCCCACCCAACTACTGTCTGGTCTACCTGCCCATCCTGTTCTTCCTATTCCACAAATGTTTTAGCATACCTCGTTGCCCTATTTTTCCCATCTCTTCATTGTTTTAGCCTCTTTCCCCACCGTCTCTTCCCACATCCCATTACTGTTTTGGTGTACTTCCCGAGCCTGTTTTTCACATCCCACTACTGGTGTAGCATACCTCCCCTCCATTTTTTCCCATCCCTGTATGAAGCAGTGATATGGATTTCACATCATGCGTTTGTTTTAGCCTACTTCCCCACGTTCCCATACCACTACTATTTTGTTCCACCCTCCCACCATGTTTTTACCATGCCGCTTCTGTTTTAAGCTGTCTCCTTGCAATTCTTATCAAATCCCACTACTGTTATATCCTTTCTTCCCGCCCTTATTTTTCCATCCCTGTATCATGTAAGCATACCCTCCCGCTCTGTTTATCCCACCCCTGCGAAGTTTTGTTCTACGTTCCAACCCTGTTTCTCCCATCCCGCCTCTCTTTTAGCCTACCACCCTAAAATCTTTATCCTATCCCTCTTTTGTTTTATCCTTCCTCCCCACCTCGTCTCTCCCATCCCACTACCGTTGTACTCTACCTCCCCACCCTGTGCTTCCAATCCCTCTATTGTTTTGGCATACCTCCTTGCACATGTTTGTCATCTGTCTACCGAAGTAGCATACGATCTTGTACTTCGACTACCATCCCAGCAGTGTTTTGGTCTACATCCCCACCCGTGTTTTCCAATCCCACTTCTGTTCTAGCACATCTCCCCGCCCTATTTTTCCCCTCCCCTCGTGGCTTCATCCTTCCTTCACATACTGTTTCTCCGATCGCTCTACTGGTTCAGCCTACATCCCCACCCATGTTTTCCCCATCCCACCTCTGTTGTAGCCGGCCTCGTTACCCTGTTTTTGCCATCCCTCTACTGTTTAGCCCTCCTCCTTGCCCAGTATATCCAATCCCTCTACAGTTTTAGCCTTCCTCCCCAGCTTGTCTATCTCATCCCAATACTCTTTTGGTCTGCCCCCCAACCCTGTTTGTCCAATCCCACCTTTGGTGGAGCCTACCTTGTCGCCCTGTTCTTCTAAACCCCACTACTGTCTGGTCCTTAGTTGCTACAAACGCTCTGGCAGACACGCGTTTAGCGTTCAAACGCTTGCGTTTGAACGCAAACGCTAAACACACCCAAAAACGCAAACGCTCTCTGGTATTTTTTTCGGGCTGCCCCCCCAAAAAAACACCTGATTGTTGTTGGAGAACAGCCTTAAGGAAAGTGGATGCTGGCTTAAATGTTAAACAGGGTTCTTTTTTATGAGACAAAATGCTTGCTGGTAGAACCCCCATGTTTCCCCCCTCCCCCACAGGAATCTTGAACCCCTGCCCGGGTAAAATTTATACCCCTGCCCGGGCAAGCGTTTGCGTAGCGTTCACATACACACTGCGTTCACATACATACGCTAGTGTTTAAATGCTAGCGTACAAACGCCAAACGCGTTTGTACCAACTAAGGTCTAGTCATACCTCCTTGCTCTTCTCTTCCCACCCCTTTCAGTTTTCCAGCCCACCTTCCCATTACTTATTTCCCATCCCACTTCTATTTGGGTCTATCTCCCCACTCAGTTTTCTCCACCGACTCTTGGTCTAGCCTACATCCCACCCCTCTTTTCCCCATCGCTCATCAGGTTTAGCCTACGTCCTCACCATTTTCTTCCCCATCCCACTGTCGTCCTGCCATTCCTCCCCGCCCTCTTTTTCCCTTCCCGTCTTTGTTTGAGCCTACTTCCCAACCCTTTTGTTCCCAACCCATTACTGTATTGTTCCACCTTCCCACCCTCTGTTTCCCATCCTGCATCTGTATTAGCCTACCAGCGAGCACCTTTTATCACATCCCTCTACTGTTTTATGCTTCCTTCCTGCCCTGTTTTTTTCCAAACCTCTACTATATTAGCAAACATTCTTGTCCTGCTTCTCCCATCCCACTACTGTTTTCTTCTACCTTTCCACCCTGTTTTTCCCATGCCACCTTTGTTGTAGCCAACCTTCTTACCTTGGTTTTTCCATACCTCTATTGTTTAGCCTTCCTCCTTACACATTTTATCTCATCCCTTTACTGATTTAGCCTTCCTCCCCATCCTGTCTCTCTCATCACACTACTCTTTTGGTCTACCTCCCAACCGTGTTTTTCCAATCCCACTTCGTGTAGCGCCTACCTCGTTGCCCTGTTTTTCTAAATTCCACCATTGTTTTGGCATACCTCTATGCCCTGTTTTTCCCATCCCCGTTTATTTTCCGGCCCACCTCCCATCCATTTCTGTTCCATTCCACTACTTTTTTTGGTCTACCTCCCCACCCAGTTTTCTCAACCTATTCTTGGTCTAGCCTATCTCCTTGCCTTCTTTTCCCCATCCCTCTTCTGGTTTAGCCTACGTCCCCACCATTTTCTTCCCCATCCCACTATCGTCCTAGCATTCCTCCCCGCCCTGTTTCTCCCATCCCGTCTTTGTTTGAGTCTACTTCTCCACCCTTTTGTTCCCAACCCACTACTGTTTTGTTCCACCTTTCCACCCTCTGTTTCCCATCCCGCATCTGTTTTAGCCTACTTCCATGGACCTTTTATCCCATCCCTCTACTGTTTTATGCTTCCTTCCTGCCCTGTTTTTTCCAACGCTCTACTGTATTAGCATACCTTCCTGCCCTACTTCTCCCATCCCACTACTGTTTTCTTTTATCCCTCTACCACTCTAGCCTACCTCCCCACCCTGTCTCTCCCATCACACTACTCTTTTGATCTACCTCCCAACCGTGTCTTTCGAATCCCACTTCTAGTGGAGCCTACATCGTTGCCCTCTTTTTTCCATACCACTATTGTTGTGGCATACCCCCCTAAACCCTGTTTTTCCTTTCCCTTTAATTTTCTGGCCCACCTTGCCTCCATTTTTGTCCCATTCCCACTTCTGTTTTAGCATACCTCCCCGCTCTGTTTTTCCCATCCCATCATTGCTTTAGCCTACCTCCCCACCCTTTCTCTCCCATCCCATTAATGTTTTGGTCTACCTCCTAGCCTTGTTTTCCCCTTCACACTAAAGTTTTAGCATACCTCCCCGCCCTGCTTCTCCCATCCCATCATTGTTTTAGCCTACATCCCCACCGTTTTATTCCCATCCCACTAGTGACTTGGTCTACCTTCACACCCCGTTTTTCCAGTTCCACGTCTGTTTTATCATACATCTTTGCCCTGTTCTTCCCATCCCTTCATTGTTTTAGCCTAGCTCTCCACACTTACTAACACATCCCATTACCGTTTTGGACTACCTTCCCGCCCTGTTTTTCCAAACGCACTCTACAACTCTATCGTTAAAGGTTCAATATTCCCCCAAGAGTCCATTTCTCCTGCTGCTTTCTGTACCCACGTGTCACGCAGACGCCAAGTCGCACGGTTTGTTGATGTGGCACATGGACGACCTCGGTGTCCCCTTTGCCACGGAGTGCTTCATCCGGGTCATCATAGCCTCCTTCTCCCGTCCTGGCCACGCCGTCATCATTCTAACACTCAACATGCTCTCATTCTGGCTTATGGGGGTAAGTGCGAGTACACTAGCTTTAACCTGTCATGAAGTCATATCGAGAAGGCGTCAATTCTGATTCCGTGTGGTTCTGATCTTGCAGGTGGAGCACAGTTTGCGCTTTGATGCCGACATGACCAAGAGTCATGTCGACAACAGCGCCCTGCAGGCAGTCTACCATTCTGATGTGAAGAACTGGGCCTGCGCTGCAATTCGGGCTCGAAGAGTCACTGGGGCACCGGTCTGGCGGGCAGAGTACAGTGCCTGGTCGTTCAGTCGGAGTAGCCGCACTGTTATGATTAATGACGACGTCATTGGGTTGGGTGATGCATCTGTTTAGCATTTCTATGTAGTAATTGTTTGATAACATGTTACCAGTGCATGTGCCGTTGGATGGTCTGTGATACGTTTCGGGAGTTCCTGCATGCATTTTTAATACGTCTAACAAGCGGATTTGTAATGGTAATATACATTAAAATAGGGTAAGAACAATTACATGTAATAAGAACATTTTCAATAAACGTAACGTACTACGCTACCACGTAACACTGCGTAACAATGTACCGAGACTACTTTCAACGCATACACAAGAATGCATTATTTAACGATACGTGGCGCGATCGTAGCGGCTGACCATAGAGAAAACTTTTGTGACTAATGCGAACACCTTCCACGTAAAAGGTAACACCGTACATTACAAACGTAGCCATGACAGAAATGAGGAAGTTGTAAACGGGTAGAAGATGCAATGATTCCAACCTCCCGATTGTGGACACGTAATGCCGTTCGCCACCAACCACTGGTAGAGTAACTGCTGCCGTTGCGATCTCGCCATTCAATCCTGAACGCACCACGATTGTTGGATCTGCCTTGCGAAAAGGCTGCGTTTGATTCGATGTAACGCCCAGGTTAGTCCGAAACATACGCTGATGTTAGTTTGTGCCAAACAACCCTCGCCAATGAGATCTTGGGAAACATACGATGGGGTATGTTTCCCATAATGTTTGGCGTATGAATCCTCGAACATACCCAGCGCCACTCTAAAGTGTCGCGTGGGTATGTTTTCCCAGCCCGGTTTTTTTAGATGTCCTGTGCAGACGACCATTCTGTAAGGTTGTTTCAAATCAACGGGCATTCTGTGTATCAGCGGCACTCTTTCTTTATCTGGTGTAATTTCCTATACTACCTGTAGCGGCTCAATACCCAGCTTCCATATCGTAATTTGAAGAGACTCTAAACAGGATGCATGGACAAGGACAGCGTGGCCTCTTGCATGAAAAGTTTTGTATGGAAGCAACTTCAAAAACAAACTAGTAAATGATTACTACCAGAAGTTTGTACACGGAACAAGGCATTTCTCCAAACCACTACCCCCCCCTCCGTAAACCCCAGCTAGTTGCTGGAGCCTCCAGCCAAGCACCATCACGCTAATGCGTTGCTCCACCCAGTCCAGTACAGATAGCTCTACCCAGGAACCCAGGCGTCCTCACTCTTGCCCATCTTGCGGCCATTCACGTCCTTGAGCTCACGCACGTCGCTCATCTCCTGCTCCGATTAGAGCCCGTCCACCATGTTGGCGCGTAGCCCGTTCCAGTACCCCTTGGCGTCCTCCAGGTCCGCGTTCGGGTTCAGCAACATGCTCACGCCCACGCCGGCGGAGTCAGAGGTGAGCAGCGCGTCGTCCGCGGGGAAGAGCATGGCCTTGCGGTCCAGCTTGCCGAGCGTCTCGTCCGTCGGATTCCAGTCAATCTCTGAAGCATTGCATTGCATTGCTCACACCAACACAAGAAACCAGAGCTTGATTTCGTCAACATAGAATTCCAAAATCAATGCCCCGACATACCCTCAAATATTATACGTTCAGGGCAACTAGCCTTCAAACATGGGTTCCGTTCGGCGGTTCGTGTGTTCGTAGCGTGGATGCGACTGCGTTTATCAAACGATGCCCCAACCAATCGGATTGACGATTTTCTTTCCCGAGTCAGCCTCATACGCGTTGCATCTCAGGCCTGAACTTGAGTGCTGCTGAGCCGTGTGATGCGGCTGAGGATGCAAAACTATGTCAGAATAGAGCGCACACGAAAGATCAAGGGAACCCATGGTACCGCTCTGAAAGCATCTGCTCTTGTTCCGTGAAGTTGACTAGTAATGTAATGTAAGTACGCGACTCCAACTTGAACCATACACTCCGTCCTCGTACGCGCCAAGGGCCATATCTACAGAGAAAATTACTATGTCAATATAGCATATGATCCATTGTGTGTATCTTTCCCTATTTCGCCATGAGAAGGGATGGAGTGGGCGAGCTCCCTAGGAGATGGCTTCTGTACAAGGCAATGCATTGGTGCGTCCCAAAATACGAGGACCATAAATACGGAGTAGGTATACAGTAGGTACGCCATAGATACGTCTGCTAAGGAGTAGCCTTGCTACAGTGGCGGATTAAATTGCCCGGATGTTTAACACTTTGAAACGTATCGTTATGCCACACATGTTTCAAAAATAGTAACACCCGTTTTTTGCCATTCTGTTACAATGTTTTTGAGTTCTGCTTCATCCGTTTCTTGCTTGGCGCGATTGTGACACAAACGGAAAGTGGGGTTGAAATTTACTCCTCGACTATCGATGTGGACATTTCCTACCGAGCGGAAGAGTAGATCTATTTTCCCCCGTCACTCGGTGTGGACATCGTCACGCGCACCAGTTGCTGGCTTAGGAGTTAGTCCGGAAGTGAGCCTACGACCGCATCGCTATGAAGCCGTTAAATGAGAGGAAGCGCGCGAGGATCATAAGCATGTTGCGTGCGGGGCATTCGATTAGGAAAATAGGGAAAGTTCTTGGCATAGGCAAGAGCACCGTGCACGATTACGGTTTGAAACTCGCTGCCGAGACTAGTCGCGAGGAGGTGCGACCTACGATGCCTTCGGCCGGCCGCCCCCGCTTAATCACTACCCGTCTCCAGCGCGGAGTAATACGCGCGATTACAAGCGGCGAGGCGAAAAGCTCTGTAGACGCGGCCAAGATGTTGTTGGAGAAGCACGATCTCGCCGTAGACTTGAAGACGGTCCGGAACTCATTACGATCCGCGGGGCTGATCGTCGTGCATCAGCCCAAGAAACCCAGGCTCTCACCGAAAAACATCCGAGATCGTCTCGACTTCGTGCGGTCGCATGCCGACTGGACGCTGGAGGACTGGAAGCGGGTGATTTGGTCTGACGAGACAAAGATAAACCGCTACTGCTCCGACGGACGTGCGTACGCCTGGATTCGCGAGGGCACCAGCCTTCAGAGCCACCAAGTCCAACAGACAGTTAAGCATGGGGGCGGTTCTGTGATGGTGTGGGGTTGCATGACGTATGAGGGGGCGGGGTTCATGTGCAAGATAGATGGCAGGATGGATGGGCCGCTGTATCGCAGCATCTTGCAAGATGAGCTCAAACAGACCATCGATTTTTTCAAGCTTTCCCCCTCAGAGGTCATTTTCCAGCACGACAATGATCCCAAGCACAGGTCTCCTCTGGTCCAAGACTGGCTTGGGGAGCAGGAGTACGCGGTGCTGGAATGGCCGTCGTGCTCCCCGGACCTTAACCCGATTGAGCACCTGTGGGCACACTTGAAAAGGCAGCTGGGGAAGTACGAAAAGCCGCCAAGTGGAATGCTGGAGCTGTGGGAGAGGGTGCAGGAGGAATGGGACAAGATACCGCCGGAGGTGTGTGCAAACCTGATCGACAGCCTGCCGAGGAGGATCAAGGCAGTGATTCGGGCAAAGGGACGCTGGACTAGGTACTAGTTTTCCTAGAATCTAGTATGATACCTTTTTTCAGTACAAATTGTCCACATGTTCTCCTATGCTATGATTAGGTGTTTAAGGACCATGTGTGGTACTACTTTGGTGTTTGTCAACTCGAGTGAGTGCTCTAACTGAAATTCTCAGCGTGAATGCACACCATACATTAAGGCTTAATGTATACGCCGCTGCACTCATTAAAATGCCAAAAAAGGCAGAACATGTGGACAATTTAATCCGCCACTGTATATGAACAACTATACCTACAATATAGGTGAGATCCACATTTTTGTGACGTGGGGTTGGAAAATGGGCGCGAGAGATATAAAATGGGTGGTGGGCGAGTGAAAGGGGGCGACGGGGGAAGAAAATGGGCGTGACGGGACAGGGGCGAAGGAAGAGGGGAAGGGTAAAGCGAAACTGAATAATAAAAGAGTTTCATGATGGGTGTTTTAAAGGCTAGTAGTGTGCGCCCACTAGGACATGGGTGTCTGACAGAACATGGGTGTGTGATAGGACATGGGTGTGTGACAGGACATGGGTGTGTGACAAGACATGGGTGTGTGACAGGACATAGGTGTGTGATAGGACATGGGTATGTGAGAGGCCATGGGTGTGTGACAGGCCATGGGTATGTGACAGGCCATGGGTGTGTGATAGGATATGGGTGTGTGACAGACCATGGGTGTGTGACAGGCCATGGGTGTGTGATAGACCATGGGTGTGTGACAGGCCATGGGTGTGTGACAGGACATGGGTGTGTGACAGGCCATGGGTGTGTGACAGGCCATGGGTGTGTGACAGGCCATGGGTGTGTGACAGGCCATGGGTGTGTGACAGGCCATGGGTGTGTGACAAGACATGGGTGTTTGACAGGACATGGGTGCGTCACAGGCCATGGGTGTGTGACAGGCCATGGGTGTGGGACAGGACTTGAAAAGTAGTCATGGAAAATGCGAGCAATGAAGGACGTGCATGCGTGCATGTATGCATGGGCGTGTGTGCATATGTGCATAGGGTTGTATGCAATTATGCAAGTATAGTTTCTAGTCTCGAGGCTGGTAAGCAAGACACGAAATTTGCAGAAGGACAACCTGATTTGATAGCAGACATGACCTAAGAAATCCTATATTCGATTACAGATCCTTCGTTGATCAAACCAATCCTGTTCAATGAATCGAGGCATATTGCAGCTGTGTCGCATGAACCTCGTTGTACCCATTACCGAGTTTCATGGGACAGCACGGGAGGTGCTGGCGCGGAATGTGAGGTTCAGAGAATGTTGTAAGCAAGTATATTTAGTGTACATAGCCAACGACACTTTTGATAAGTTGGGACAGGGACGCATAGTGTACATATTTAGGCCGGACAGAGGTGCTTCCTGATCCTCTATGTATATTTAGTGTACATAGCCAACGACACTTTTGATAAGTTGCGCGCAGCTGGGAGGGCAGGGTTTGGCTTCGGAGTGGGACTGCTAGGAGGAGGAGCATAAAAGTAGTAAGGAGGGGTAGTTGTTGCTACTCTGTTTGTTCTCTCGTTATCATGGGAAAGCCTGTATGCTCTCTTACTAGTGGATTTACTCTTGAGCAACGCTAGATCCATGTAGGGAGGCCGGACAGAGGCGCAGTTTAGAGGATCAGGATGCGAGATTGAGTCTTGGGCTTTTTCGTACAAACAGAGTTATGGTGGGCATGACGCTGCGTAGCGGCATGCGCCTACCTGTGGGAGAGACTCCCCCGCTGGGGAAGGAGAGCGTGCCGCCAAGCGAAGGAGGCGAAGAACAGGGACGGGAATCGTCCGAGGATAAGCGCGAATCTCCGCGCGAGAAGGCTGGCGAAGGAGCGCAAGAGTGGGACGAGGAGATTTGTGGCTCTAGCAGTTTCGCCATGCGAGCAGATCGCCATCCGGGAGAAGGAATCCCATCGACGGGAAGAGGAGGAATCCCTTCGGGCGTCGCGGAGCGCAGCAGAGGGGTCTCGGAATCGAGGGCAGCCGGATCCCCAGAGGTCGCCACATCTGCGCGCTTAAGCGAGATGGGTGGCGGAGGTGCCATCGGGGGGAGAGGCGCGTCCGTGGGAGGGCCATCAAGGTGGTCCTTGTGGGAGGAGGGGACGAGATATTGCTACACCAGCCTTCCGAAAGTGGAGGTTCCAGCTCGCTTTACGGCGACCAGGAGATTGGGACGCGGCTTAAGGCGTATGTGATGCACATCCACTGCGAGAAGTTCTGCTGGGAGCAAAATGGATTGGACTTAAGGCACTTCTTTCGCTCTCTGGGGAACACGCTTGCCGGAGACGTGGAGGCGTTCTTACTGGAAGTGCGCGATCTACTGCTGCAGGAAGAGGAGCGGGATGCTTTGGGCCGGGTTTGCCGCGATGAGGAGGGACGGATCTTGACGCTAAGAGATCCAACGGAGAGGTTCCTCGTCGAGCTGCAGGTCCATTTCCCCACGCAGACGCGGCGCGGCTAAGAGAGTTTGAGCAGCTGCGGAGGGCCTCAAGAGAGTCACTGCTGGCGTATTACCGGCGGGTGGATCAGCTGGCTGACGTCATCAGCTGCAACGAGCCACGGATAGTGGTGGCGAAGTTCCTAGATGGGCTGTCGGGAGATCTGGTGGGGACGGTGCGAGACCACACGTACAACCTACGGCCGAACGCCACGCTTCGTCAGGCGTATGCGATAGCATGGCGGAATGAGCAGTCCCTGAGCATGTATGACCTGGGGAAGAGGGCAGAACGGACCATGCCCCACGAGCGTGATCGCAGGGGAGTAAGCTGGGGTGGAGCCATGATGGCAGACAACGAAGGAGATGAGGAAGGAGGGCTGGAAGGCAGGAATCAGAGGGGACGGGCGAGGAGGGCAAAAAGTGCGACTCCGCCCCCGGGTGAAGAGCCTGTGCGCTATAAGTGCAGGGAGCCCGGGCACTTCAAACGAGACTGCCCCAAGTTGCAATCCTGTACATATTGCCAGCGAAAGGGGCATGCGGCCGACGACTGCTACACGAAGCAGAGTGAGGAACGGAGCTGTGGGGGCAGACGCAGTCGCATAGAAGCACTGGAAGAAGAGCTCAGGAAGCTCAAGGGGGAGGCGGAGGGCAGCGAGGAAGAGGAGGACTAGGGAGCACTAATGGCTTGAACAGACCAAGAGGATAAGGGGGAGCTGCCAGAGCCCTTCTTCATGGCCTCGGGGAGAGATCGAGACCGAGAAGACCTGGGGCTGCGCATCGGGGGCAGAGATGGACGCCGAGATATGCAACAGGGGCACAGAGGGCCGAGGATGGAGCCCTCCCCAGCGGTGCAGCGTGCAGCGGAAGCTGTAGCGGAGGCAGTGGCACGTGCAGGGGGCAGCCATGGGCCACGCATGCATCCCTTTGAGCGTATGGCGGCACGTCCGTGCGTGGTGGAAGCAGTGGAAGGGTCCGTGGAGGTAGAAGGAAATTACCTAGGTACGACGATCATTGACATGGGTGCCTCCCAGGTGCTGATCGGTAGGCGACTGGCCGAGCATTTGGGGCTCCACCAAGAGGAAAACGTGACACCTGAAGGGGTGAGGATACCGACAGCAGAAAGGGGGGGTAGGCAAATGCCTGCCAAGGACCTTGCGTTTGCAGGAGGTAGTGTTGGCTCCCGGGAAAGAGAACGAAGCGAGACTCAGGGTGCACTGCCTCATCTCGGATTCCGATGATTACAATCTATTGCTAGGTATGGAGCTGTTGTAAAAAATCGGGGCAGTCGTGGACACCTGGGCAGAGAAGGTCACGTACCAGCCATGATACTGGGATGCAGACTTACGGCAAGAAGAGAGTACAGCGGCTGTATTGCCCGCTCGGTTCCTGAGAGGGAGACCCGTGTACAGGGAGCCGTCCGCAGACCGGGTGCCTGAAAACCGATTCGAGGATGCTGGAGTGTACCTGGAGAAGAGCAGTGAGAGGCGGAGATGGGAGGAAGCAGCCGGCCCGAGAGTGGAAGAGTACCATGAAGCAAAGGGCTTGACAGAGCCCACGTACGATTTTGAGACGGACATCTTAGAACCAGGCAGGCGGGCTGCTCCGGTAACCATGCCCGACGCTCGAGTGTAGTACCCTATGCAATGAAGTGGGGGCACCACGTCAGGCCTGGCCCATGCTGATAGCGACCCCAGGCAGCTCTGCCTTCCGGATGCAGGATGGACAACCAGGCCCCGGAATGGTGCAGGTCCTGTCCACTGGAGAATGGGAGGAACCCTTGGCAGTGGAGCGAGAGTGAGCACTAGGGTACTTGAGAAATGCAACCGCAGTAGAGGGAGTGACGGAAGCAGAGAGGTGGCGAGCTCTAGGGGGAGCTATAGGTATGGTTGATGTACCGGGCAGAGAAGCGATAGGAGGCAATGCGCAAGCAGCTGCTGATGATTTGGAGGTGGAGGGATATAGAAGAAATGCTAGAGGCAGACCCAGTTCAAGCCATGGACATAGCGAAGGCATGGCAAAGCATGAAAGTGGAGGCAAGGGAGGAAGGTAGGCGGGATGAAGAGCGCTTGAATAGCAGAGGAATCAGCCTCTTGGCGAGAGAAACGCAGGAGGCTGAGGAGCGGCAAGATACGAACGAGGAGCTGGAGGCAGAGCCCCCCCCCTTAGGGACGCTCCCCCTGAGGAGAGTCAGTGGGACATAGGGGAGGGGCTGGAGGAGGGACAGAAGGAGGAACTAAGGGGGGTACTCGAGAAGGCCAGAGGCGCCTTCGCATACTCACTGGCGGAACTGGGCAAGTGTAACCGGGCACAGATGGAGATTGATTTGCAGAGCTCTGAGCCTGTGTATCAAAGGAGACGGAGACTGAGTCCAGGGGATCGCGACATCGCTATAGCCAAATGCAAAGAGGTGCTAGCAGCCAGCTAGATTCAAGAATCAACATCAGAGTATGCAGCGGCAACTGTGGTAGCGGTACGCAAGGACTTGACAGGAGAAATGCTAGCAAGACGGATGTGGGGGGATTATCGGGGCCTGAACCGCATGACGAAGAGCGATAGGTACCCCATGCCGATGGCGGAGGAGATTTTTGACAAGCTGGCGGAAGGGAGGATTTACTCAACTTTAGACCTCCGGCAGGGATTCAATCAGATCCCGATCAAGGAAGAAGATAAGGCCAAGACCGCGTTTCACGGTCCAGACCGGCTCTTCAAATAGAACTTCATGCCATTTGGCTTGAAGAACGCCTCTGCAAAGTTTCAAAGAGTAATGGACCAAATCCTCCAGGAGGTGCCGCGGGAACTGTGCTACATTGACGATGTCGTCATCTACAGCCAGATGGGAGAGCAACACGTAGCTGACGTGGCGGCGACCTTAGCGACTATCCAGAGAAATGCCACTTCGGGGTTACGACAGTAGCTTACCTGGGGTTTCAGGTGGGAGAAGGCGGGCTCTCGGTGCAGCAGGCGAAGGTGGGGGTGGTTGACAGGCTGAAGGCGCCCACGGATTGTAGCACGCTAAGAGCGCAGCTGGGATTCCTGAGCTACTACCGCAGGTTCATCCCAAACTTCAGCAAGACAGCCAAGCCACTAAATCAGTTGTTGAGAAAGGATGAAGGATGGAAGTGGTGGAAAGAGCAAGAGAGAGCATGGACCACCCTCAAGGAGGTTGTGAAGACGGCGCCGCTGCTGAAGCTGCCTAGCCTTTCCTGCTGTACACAGACTGGAGCAGCAGTGGGATGTGCACCGTGCTTTGTCAGGAGGAAAAAGGAATGGAGAGGGTGGTGGCGTACGTCAGCAGGTCATGTAGCCTGGCGGAGAGCAATTATAGCTCATACGAGGGAGAGGGGTTGGCGGCAGTGTGGGCGGTAGAGCTGTTCCGGCCCTACTTGCAGGGGAGGAAGTTCACGCTGGTGACGGATCACCAACCACTGCTCTGGCTGATGACGAACCAAACCCTGAAGGACCGGAACGCTCGATGGGCTATGCGTCTACAGGAGTTCGAGTTCGACGTGAAGCATCGACCGGGGAAAGACTTTGCAGCATGCGGATGGCCTAACTCGCCAGAGGCAAGAGGGAGACGAGAGGAGAGAGGTGCGGGCAGAGGCCGCACTTACTTGTATGGTGGTGGCCCTGGAGAAGGAGGGATGGAACCGGAAGACAGAGACAGCAAAGGGCAGTTGGGAGATTTGGGAAGACCAGCCAGTGCTCGCCTGGGTTCAGGGCAGGGGACCGGAAGGGGAAGAAGTTCCTGAGAGGGTGCGAGTGTGGGGGGGTGCATTACCGATGGCAGACGGATCAGCAGCAGCTGGTGACAGAAGATGGGTGGCGGATAGTGCCACGGCCAGAGGAAAGGGAGGCCCTGATCGTGAAAGTACATACACAGTTGGGGCACTATGCCGTGGAACGGACCGTACAGATGCTGCAGACCATGTACTGGTGGGCGGGCCTGAGAAGAGAAGTGAAGGAAGTGCTGGCCAGATGTGAGCCATGCAGCCGGAGCAAGGCAAAGGTGGAGCGAACCAAGGCAGAGCTGCAGTCTCTACCCATCGGTTCAATCGGGTATCGCTGGTCCTTAGACATGGCGGGGGAAATGCCGCTATCTTGGCGAGGCAAGAAATACACTCCGTGATGATCGAGCTCACGAGCAAGTGGATAGAGGTGGCAGCGCTGGCATGGAAGACAGCAGCAGCAGTGGCAAAGGCTTTCACCCAGCAAGTCCTAACCAGGTTTGGCGCATGTGGGGAAGTTCTGACGGACCAGGGTGGAGAATTTGCGGGAGAATTCCACGGCCTGCTGCAAGAGGTGGGCATCACCCACCGGCGGACTTCACGGTACCATCCTCGGGCTGATGGCCTTACAGAGTGAATGGTCCAGACTCTGAAGAGCGAAGGGAGTGGGACCAACATCTGCCGTGGGTAGCGGCGGGGTATCGCTTCAGCAAACAGCAGGCTCCGAAGGATTATTCCCCGTACTATCTGCTTTTCGGGAAGGAGCCAGTGCTGCCGGTGGACGCTTCAGTATCCACTGATGACCCACGCACCTAGGCGACGGTGGCAGCCAGACACGCTAGCTACCTCTGCAGCGCGCTGCCAGCAGCCTTGGAAAATCTGGAGGTGGCGCAGCTCCGTGATGCTCGATGCTACCAACAGCGGAAGGAAGGAGTAGGTGGAGGACCGAGGCATGGGACTGAGCTGCAAATTGGGGATGAGGTGTACCTGAAGGAGCCGCGGCATAGTACGCTGGAGTGTGGCCCGAGTAAGCAGAGGTGGGTCGTGCGCGGGAAGAAGGAGTTGGGGGTCGTGACACTACAGAATACGCCAGGGAGGTCGGTTCAGGATCATGTGACGAATGTCGCCCGAGCATCCGGTTCGCGACCAAGCAGCGGGGGCGCAGGGCAGACCGCGAGGGGGCATGAGTCAGGGGAGTCGAAACTCATCACATACAAGCGTAGGGAAGGCAAAGAATCTTAGGAACCAGGTTAGGCATTGCAGATGAGAGCTGCGGGGAGGGGAGGAGGCTATGCGACAGCTGTCGCATGAACCTCGTTGTACCCGTTACCGAGTTTTATGGGACAGCGCGGGAGGTGCAGGCGTGGAATTAGAGGTTCGGAAAATGTTGTAAGCAAGTGTATATAGTGTACATAGCCGACGACTCTTTCGATAAAGGTACAGTGATGGGCGAGTTGGGAGCGGTTGGCCAGCTGGGAAGGAAGCAGGTTGGGGCATGACACGTAAGTAAGCATGAGGAGCGGTTTGGGCAGTAAAATCAGCGAATGAGAGAGGTGAGTCGATGGCAGGAATCACCGGGCCATCACAGGAGGTGAAAATCCCGAAACGGCGCGCGGCGGAAGCAGCTCGGAGGGTAGGGTTTGGCTTGGGAGTGGGACTGCTAGGAGGAGGAGCACAAAAGCAGTAAGGAGGGATAGTTTTTGCTACTCTATTTGTTCTCTCGTTATCATGGGAAAGCCTGTATGCTCTCTTACTAGTGGATTTACTCATGAGCAACGCTAGATCCATGTAGGGAGGCCAGACGAGGTGCAGTTAAGAGGATCAGGGTGCGAGCTTTAGTCTTGGGCTTTTTTGTCTCAGTCAGGGGAGTCGAAACTCATCACATACAAGCACAGGGAGGGCAAAGTATCTAAAGAACCAGGCTAGGCATTGCAGAGGAGAGCTGCGGGGAGGGGAGGAGGGTATGCGACAGTGGGTGTAAATTCCTCGCAAAAAAACCAATCATGCTGGTCTAGTTTTTGGGTGAGAAGAAAACGCCGTGGCAAAGAAAATCGTATCAGCAGTCGTATCGACAATCTTCTGACATAGGGTTTCCTAATGCGGTAGCCACGTTATTCTCGGATGTTGAGGAAAGGAGAGGGGTCATAACCACTATTTCCTAACAAACGTGGATAGCAAGTCCGGGAAACTTAGGTACATGATGTCCTAACCTCACCTTACTCTGACAGTGAACCTAATATAACCACAGGGAATGGCGATTCGGGCATGAGAGTGAGGCAGAGTGATTTAACGATGAGAGTGTGGCATGGTGATTCAGGGATGAGAGTGCAGCATGGTAATTCAGGGATGAGAGTGAGGCATGGTGAACGAGGCATGAGAGTGCGAAAGCATCAAAAGCTGTTACGTTGATATGCAATAAGAATCTGGCGACAGGTTTTGACAAAGGAACCTGACTAAGGGTGAATCTGACTATGGGGATTCGACTGTGAATTCCTGAGATGGAAATCTGACAATGAGGTCAGTCATGGAACGTCGGCACTGGGAATTGTAAACGGGAATCTAAAATTACAATTCTGACAATAGAGAACTGACTACGGGGGATTGGGGAATACGAACCTGACATGGAAAAATGAAGCGGGAACATGACATGAGTATATGCCATGGCTATCTAACAACGGAAATCTGACAATGGGAATCATCTGGCTCAGAAATCTGACATAGAATTCTGACAGTCAGCATCTGACAGTAATAATTGAACAACGGGGAATATATAGGATTCGAGCAGCTGGAACGTAGTCAGCTGGAATCTGGGGAAAAAAAAAAAAAAAAAGTGAGAATCTGACCACGGGAATTGGAAAATGGAATATGGCTGTGGGTGAATGTGACAATGAGATTCTGACAAATGAATGAATCTGATACGGAAATCTGACAACAGAAGTCTGACATGGAAAGTTGGCACTAAGAATTGGAAATGGGAATCTGAAAGCGGGAATCTGAGATTGGAAATGACAATGGGAAATAGATAATACGTACCTGACACGCAAAAATAATATAACATGGGTATACGAGAGCATACGTGACAACGGGAATCAGACCTGGGGCTTGGGAATCTGACTTGAGGATCTGACCTGGGAATCTGACCTAAAAAAACTGACGTGGGAATCTGGCTTGGGAATCTGACTTGGATAGCTGACATGGGATTCTGACTAGGAAATCGAACTTGGGAATCTCACCTGGAAATCTCACCTCCGAATCTGACTCGGGAATCTGACTGATTTCGGAAACTGACAGACCTTGGAATCTGACTTGGGGATCTAACCTAGACATCTAATCTAGGAATCTGACCTGGGATTGTGACCTGGGAATGTGACCTGGGAATCTGATTTGGGAATGTGACTCGGTAATCCGACTTGGGATTCTGACTCGGAAATCTGACTTGAAAATCTCACCTAGGAATTTGACAGGATGTTTATGGGATCCTGATAAAGGGAAAGAAATTTTGGAGTGAGATTGCTATGCTCACGGCAATAATTGGGAACCTGACCTGGAAATGTGGCTCAAAAATCAGACTTGGGATTCTGACTTCCAAATCTGACTAGGGAATCTGACTAGGGAATCTGACATGGGAATCTCACCTGGAAATCTGACCTGGGAGTCTGACCTGGGAATCTGACTTGGGAATCTTACTTGGGCATCTGACTCCGGAATATCACCTGGGAATTTCACCTGGGAATCTGACTCGGGAATCTGACTTGGAAATCTGACTCGGGAATCTGACTCAGGAATCTCACCTGGGAATCTGACCTGGAAATCTGACCAGGAAATCTGACCTGGGAATCTGACTCGGGAATTTCACATAGGAATCTGACTTGGGGGAATCTGATTCGGGAACATCACCTGTGAATCTCACGTGGAAATGTGACCTGGGAATCTGACCTGCTAATCTGACCTGGGAATGTGACCTTGGGAATCTGACCTGGGCAGCTGACCTGGGAATACGACCAGGGAATGTGACCTGGGAATCCGACCTGGGAATATGATTTTTAGAATCTGACTTGAGAATCTGACTCAGGAATCTCACCAGGGAATCTCACCTGGGAATCTCACCTGGGAATCTCACCTGGGATTCTCACGTGGGAATCTGACCAGGAAATCTGACCTGGGAATCTGACCTGGGAGTCTGACTTGGGAATATGACTCAAGAATCTGACCTGGGAATCTGACCTGGGAATCTGACTTGGGAATTTCACTGAGGAATCTGACTTGGGGGAACCGAATCGGGAACATCACCTGCGAACCTCACGTGGGAATGTGCCCTGGGAATCGGACCAGGGAATGTGACATTGGGAATCTGACCTGGTCAGCTGACGAAGGAATACGACCTGGGAATGTGACCTGGGAATCTGACGTGGGAATCTGACTTGGGAATCTGACTTGGGAATCCGACATGGGAATACGACTCATGAATCTGACCTGGGAATCTGACCTAGGAATCTGACTTGGGAATTTCACATAGGAATCTGACTTGGGAATTTCACATAGGAATCTGACTTGGGGGAACTGACACGGGAACATCACCCGCGAATCTCACGTGGGAATGTGACCTGGGAATCTGACCTGAGAATCTGACCTGGGAATGTGACCTTGAGAATCTGACCTGGGCAGCTGACCAAGAAATATGACCTGGGAATGTGACCTCGGAATGTGACTTGGGAATCTGACTCGTGAATCTGACTCAGGAGTCTCACCAGAGATTCTGACCTGGAAATCTGACTTGGGAATCTGACTCAGGAATCTCACCAGGGAATCTCACCTGGGAATCTCACTTGGGAATCTCATCTGGGAATCTCACCTGGGATTCTCACTTGGGAATCTGACCTGGAAATCTGACCTGGGAATCTCACCTGGAAATCTGACCTGGGAATCTGACTTGGGAGTCTGACTTGGGAATCTGACTGGGGAATCCGACTAGGGAATTGACTCAGGAACCTGACCTGGGAATCTGCCCTGGGAATCTGACCTGGGAATTTGACAAAGGAATCTGACTTGGGGGAATCTGATTGGGGAACATCACCTGCGAATCTCACATGGGAATGTGACCTGGGAGTCTGACCTGGGTATGTGACCTTGGGAATCTGACCTGGTCAGCTGACCTAGGAATATGACCTGGGAATGTGACCTGGGAATCTGACTTGGGAATCT